GAATCATTATATTTATTTGTGTTTATAGAAAATATTTAGAAGGCATCAAGTGGACCCAGAGGAAATGCATTCCATGAATGCAAGGAAGTAATATTCAAGTATAGAAATGTATATGTGTACATATTCGGATTTTAGTAATGATGTTATTAATTAATTAGTTTTGTCGACTGAGGCTTCCATTTTATTTTTTAAAAGACAGAAGAGTGATAACATCACAGTTCCATCACTGACAGCAAAACTGTAAAATTTTGACTTACCACTGTAATATAATAATGTAGCTGCAAGCAGCAACATAGGAGTTCGAATGTAGATAACGAGGTTATGGACAATACTGGTTGCTACGAGACCAGATATGGCAACTATTTTAATTTGAGAATGATGATTTTAGAAGGTTGTCATATATGTTGTCTTAGTTGGTAGTGATTCGACCACCAGATATTGTGCTGTATATTATGTGCCAGAAAAATGCTTTAGGAACCATTATTGAATAAAGTAAACGGATGAGTGCATAATTGATACGGTGAAATGCATGCTACCTTACAAATACAAAGTGAATACATACTACATGTACACATATTCAGACTTGTATAGATATATATATATATACATTAGCAGACGCTTGTTTTTCGACATCATGTTAGATTTATCTGGAAACAAATATGAGACAATTGCATTTAAATCTGACAAGCTTATTATGTTTGGTCATATGGTTCACATATTTGAATGATGAATCATAGCTAAAATGATCATAATGATCATCATTTGTACACAACCAATTCATTTGAAATAACGATTGTGAATATGGTTGTTCACTTGATCTTCATGTTGGATTGGTACAAGATCACGTTCATATGCCCATCATAATTTGTTTTGCACGTTGTTTAACATATTACTTATTTTATTGTGTTTATTTGAAGTACTTGAATCATGAAAGCATATAATAGTTACATATATTGTGCTGTAGTAGTAATCACTTCGTGGTTTAAAAATGGTGTATTATGAGAAATTAATTTTAGTGAAAATTTGACAGTGTTACTTTCCAGATATTTTTCTGTTTTGTTGTATCTTCAATGTTTTGTTTTCAGTAATTCAATTTTATCGGTATATTCCTATATAATATCAAATTTCGAAACATATAGTTTAAATTGATTCAAGGGAAATAAATGTTTCACATTAATTAGTATGATTTTAAAAACATATTTGTTTTATACATGATTCTGAAGGATATTAATAATTGCTGTCGATGTCAGATGTTCTAGCTGAATAAGTTGGTTATATTTCCAATTCGCATACTGACCTTTACGCATTTGTATCGTATGAAACGTTTATAGAGACTAAAATACGAGCTTCTTTCAGAACATGGCAAAGCCTAAAATAATGGAACATTGCGCTTATCACACTACTGGTGACACGGCCTACCATATTCGTGCCTGCAACAATACATTTAGAACCAAAAATACAATTAGTATTCGCAATTGGAGGATGTGTGTCACCCCTCGGACGACCACATGGAATAGAACTGTAGGTCTCTACCCCCCTGTCATCAATACATCAATCAAATTAGTAATGCGTCGTCAGGTTGTGATATCCAAGCAATTAAATACTTAATAAACGGCAAGGTAAATACTACGTCAAATCAAAGACTCGAACCGGTGTTCACGTTCGGCACCTAATCGCTCAGCTTTACGTCGCTGCACGTCTTCTCCTCATATCTGGCTGCACTAGGATGGTGAAAGCCGAAAGTAATGATACAGCATTATTATAACAGTGAATAAGTACTGCGAAATAATTGTAAACTCATAGTTGCTGTTGATATAGAAAGTAAAGTAATGCTTAGTTCACAAAAACGGCGCTTTGATGGCGCTTTAAAGCGGCGTGCAAAGCGGCACCAAAGCGTAACAAAGCTTGAATAAAGCGTCAGGGTCGTAATAGATCATGGGAAAGCTTGGAGTAAAGTGGGACATTCGGCAAGAGCGCCACAAAATTTTAAACTGTTTAAAAATTTGGGGCGCTCTGTCACGAATTGATTAAAGCGCCTCGATCGTATCAAAGCTTAACAAAGCGTAACAAAGCTCAGCAAAGCTTGACTCAAAGCATAGGAAAGCTTAACAGAGCTTGGTTCAAAGCGGGGCCCCCAGTCTTCACGAGCTGTCACCACTTGACACGCTTCGTTAAGATGTCTCAAGATTTGCTACGATCTGGCAGGAAGATCTGACACGAGGTGAGACGCTTTCATCAAGATCTGACACGCTTTGTTACGTTTTCATGAAGGACTCTCACGCTTTGCCACGAATTGAGACGCTTTTATCAAGGATTGACACGCTTTGTTAGGCTTTGTTACGCTTGGCAAGCTTCCTCACGCTCTCTCACGCTCTTTCACGTGCTCCTATGATACCCACGCTCTGTCTCCATCCCTATAAAAATAGCGCTGCGACTTGAGTGCCACTCATTGCATTGTTTCCAAACGAAGAAGAAGTATCCTGAACCTGAAAAACTACTAAAACACACAAAGATGGGACCCAAGAGAGGTAGAGGTGCAACAAAGAAGAGCCAGAGAGGGACAGGCAGAGGCCAGATGGCTGAAAGGCCGAGGTCTCCAACACCACCGCGGGCAGAAGATGAAGCCATGCTGGTTCCAGAGCCAGAGCAGCCACAGCCTCACCCT